TGCAGTGTTTGTGGTGCATGCTGGGAGATCCCACACCGAAAGCTGAACCTGGAGACGCGATTCGTCTGTATGTCTGTACGGAGGGAGCAATCCCGGCCCCGTACTGTCGCGGGCTGGTGTCACCCGGTTGCTGAATCGGACGGTGAAAAGAAGACGCGGCGAATCTTTAACGATTAACATTTCCTAACGAGTTCTTTATCCCTGTTGCGGAGATGCCGCACGTAGCACTTTTTATCCCCCCCCCCTTAGTGGCGCCTAAGAAGCTGACGCTGTGAATTCAGGGTGTCCGATGGACATTTGTCGCTGGGGTTTCTAGTCCGAGTCCGGTTATTCTGCGTCAGAAATTGTCTGAAAAATTCTATTTTTAAATTAAAAAAATGATAATCTGATAAAGAGTTTCAGTGTCTGGAAGTGGAAACGATGGAGAAAGGCGCGCAGGGCCCGATCTATACACGTGGAGCCGCAGGGTCAGCGGAAGAAAGAAAGGAAATACCTTTTTTGGAGCTTTTAAAGGTTGTCACATGACCGCCCTCCACTCCTGTAGCAGTGGCGGAACTACCAGGGTCGCAGAGGTAGCGGCTGCGACCGGGCCCTGGAGTTCCGCCATTTTGGATGGGGCCCAGGACAGGAGGAAGGGGCCCCTGGTAACCGCTTATTACCAGGATATTTATTATTAATGTCAGTCCCGGGACCTCTTCCTCCTGTCCTGGGCCCTACGTGCTTCACGCTGCTCCCCCTCACCTTGCTCCGGGGCGCAGCGTGAAGTAGGATCCAGCCCGCGCAGCAGCCAATGAGTGGGAAGCTGTGTTGTCCCCGCCCCCTCATCACACAGAACGCTGCCGAATAGAGAGCTGCTGCGGACACGAAGGGGGAGATGTAGGGAGCTGGGACTATGACGGTGACATGGGGTCCGGGAGCGGAAAGCTGGGGACGTGAAGGGGGAGATGAGGGGAAGCTGGGGACATGAAAGAGGAGAGTGTGGGGGGGGATTCTTGCATCGGGGCCCTGAGGTCACTAGTTACGCCTCTGACTTGTAGCATGGGGGAATGCACACTCGTAGATTCCACTGACATGACAGTTCCCAGGACACCTTTAGCTCCACACAAATGCAATCTCCAATGTGCAGGAGCTGGTGTCACCCAAATTGTGGAGGGCTGGATGGGGGGGG